TTCAGCCGAAATAGTTTTTGTCTATGTTGATGTTTGAAATTTGCATATCAGACATTTAGGTGCAAGATTAGGCCAACATTTTATGTTTTCCGTCCCGTTTTTGCTCATTTCTCGAAAGCAACATAAGCCAGAACGCTAATTACGTATAACGAACGATAGACAGACTTTTTAAAAACAGGTTTATTCCTTTAATACAACTGTTCAGGTTGAGGTTAGAAGCAAGAATGAATATTACTATATTTATACATTAAAATGAAAGATTGGTTAAACTTATTGGTCAGCAGTTCCCAGGGGTTCAGGTGTGAACCTTGGCGACTTCTAGCGGAAGATGGCTGCGGCGTCAGCGGTTCCCATGAAGTATCTGTGCTATCAGCAGATACTACATATGTAACTCGCTTTAATATATTGTTTAAATAATCGAAACTCTTTCTCATGTCTATATTATTTATAGCCGCAAAAAATTCCCTATCACGTATGAAAATTATTTAAAAAAATTAAAACCGGCAACGGTTTTAATTTTGAATTCGGACAATTATTATAGTACGAGTAGTCCGCAAATTTGTGTTACAAATGCGAAATTCCTTTGCATAATGCAATAAAATAATCAAGTATAGTTTTCGACACAAAAGGTGCAACTTTATCATATTTTCGACGACTCGAATTCGATTCATTCTTTAGGCAAATGCTAATCTGAACTATCTCCTCGAACTATTTTTTCTGTTTGTAATTAACTATACATTTTAGTAAGTGAATAAATGATCATTTTTTATATTGTCATGATTTCTTGAACCATTCTCTTTTCAGACGAACGTTTTCAACTGCTTGGTTTTCCAAAACACTAATTGCTTAATTGCATTAGTATGATAATTATAAGGGAACAAAAACCGTTTTAAATTTACAATTACAAAAAACGAAAGAGTCGTTTGATCAGACGTGAAAATGCTGTTTAGTTTTCAAACCAGATGATTTCGCACATTTTAAAAATCGTTATTATCTTGAAAGTCATGTTAGTGACTAGTTTAACAAAATTTTGCTATTAACACATAACGATAAGCATGATTCTTATTGACTCATGGTGTTTATCTGGTGAAGGTATGCATCTGTTTGTTCATCATAATTCAATGAAAAATTCTTAGCTATTATTAAAATTGCGACAGTCCAAAAAAATACCCAAGTTTTAAGGCCAGAAAATACCAACTAATATGTTTTTTGACTTTAAATGTAATGAATAATTTTAAATCCGCATCACATGAAATCAAAACTTAAACAAGTTGAACCAATGGAAACAAAGCATGACAAGCAAAAAAAATGTACTTCTATGTCTACATTTTTAGTCAACATTTACATATTAATTTTCGCACTGAATTGCGGAACTTTTCATAAGCTTTCATCGCAAACTTTCATTTGAATACATGCGGGCGATAACCTTGGTTTTGCCTGATTTTCACTATCTGCGATGATTTTTAATTTCCTACAAACATTTGAGTTTTAAAAAGTTTGAAAGTCTCAACACTAAATCGTGACAATGAAATGCATTGAGTATAGCACACAATAGCACAAGCATTACAAGTTTGGCTAAATAAATATACATAAGAGGGTTATTTGAAACGCGTTAGCCAATATATTCAAAGCTAATAAGCGTTTTAAAACATAAACCGATTGGAGGCATTTTACAGCTGAATTTTTGACGAAATGCGAAATCCACAGGTTTTTAAATAAATTGGATTTATTTTTTCCCAGACGGGAGGATAACAATCGTGGTTTTTTCAATTTTTTTCGTTG